AGGGCGCGTGCGCGGACGACGCCGCGTGGTCGCACATCAACAAGAAGAACAAGAAGCTCGACTGCGTCAGCATCGCGCGGAACCCCGGCCGCCGCTGCGCCTTACCGGGCGCCGCGGCGGCCTGCAAGCAGACCTGCGGTGGGTGCTGAGAGCTTCCCCACTCGCGCGCTACGCAGAAGCAAGCAACCCTGAAGTAAGCGCGGAGGACGCCCAGAGCCGCGCGCGCCGTTCGTCGGGCGCTCGAAACTACGCTTCGGCAACGCGGGGTAGGGGTGTGCTGGTAGCAGTCCCCGAAGTCTTACGGCGCGCCCCCCGTCGCCCGCCAGCCCTCGATGTCGTCGACGGACGACGGCCCCGGCGGGACGATGCCGGGCGCGAGGCACGCGTAGCAGAAGTGGTGGCCGCAGTTCGGGCAGCCGCTCCCGGGCTTGATGTGGTGGCAGGCGTGGCCGTGGGAGTGCGTGATGCGGAAGCCGCAGCGCGGGCAGGCCTTGGACGTGGCGCTCACGAACGCCGCGGTGAGCGCGTCGCCGTCGCCGCCGGTCGCGACGTCCGAGCACTGGACGAGGCGGTGCGCGGGCACCTTGCAGCGCACGCAGGAGGCCCGCTCGCAGTAGGGGCACGTGGCGAAGGGCGGCTCGGCCTCGATGCGGCCCCGGAGCGAGTCGGAGAGGGACCCGAGGAGCGCGGAGCTGCTCCGGGGCGTGCGCGCGGGCTCGCCGACGCCCGCGAGCTCGACGTCGCCCGCGTCCGCCGCGTCCGCCGCGTCGGCGACGTGGACGACCTCGTCGTTGAGCAGGTCGCGCGTCGACCTGCGGGCGCGCGCGCGTCGGCTTCGAGCGCCCGGAAAAAGAAAGGCGACGCCGGCGCGGGACGCGGCGAAGGCCTGGCGGCCCCAGGCGGCGCCGCGCGCGACGCGCGCGCGCAGGCGCCCGGCGAAGCGCGCGGGCGACGGCGGCGCGCGCGGCGTGGCGGCGCGGCCCGCGCCGTACTTCGCCAGGACGTCGCGGTGCGGCACCGCGAAGAGCCGCCCGCACGTCGGGTGGCAGCAGTAGAAGCGCTCCGCCTTGGCGACGTGCGCTTCGTCGAGGAACCGCGCGAGGCGGTCGTACTCCTCGGACGCGAGCGGCAGGCAGTCGCCGCGCATGTCGTCGCGGATGTCCCGCGCGACGAGCGTCTCGACGACGTCCTGCGTCACGAAGGACGCGCAGCCCGCGACGTGGAGCGGGCAGCGGATGCCCTCCTTCGTGACGTTGGCCTCGACGTCGCCGAGCGCGTTGCGCACGTAGCCGATGGAGCAGGACGCGCAGAGCGTGTGGCCGCACGCGCCGAGCGACGCGAGGAAGTCCGCGTGGACCTCGTCGAAGCAGATGGAGCAGCTCAGCGTCTTCACGGGCGCGCGCACCGCCGACGGCTCGTCGCAGCGCCGGCAGACGCCGCGCGGGA